AGTATAATGGGCTCCAAAACCCTAGTCCAACTTGTAAGGCTCCTATACTACTGTTGATGGACAAAATCCTGCATGACCCAAATATAGTGTAGTACCATAAATCCCATGGTTTAGGTATATAAGGTCATGCAGGATTTTGTCCATCAACAGTATCAATGCCGTCCAAACCTCCAAGTGCTCTGAGGGTTTCGGGGCAGGGCTTCAGGTTTGTCAAGGTTTGGGTTCACCAGCGTTTAGTGGGGAGCACTTGGTGTTGTATGAAGGCTTATAGGGCTTAAGGGCTGCGGGGGTTTGAGCGTTTCGCGTTAAGGGGTTTAGGGTTTTGTGTTGTGTTGTTAGGGCTTCCTGTCGTTCATCCCGGAGCGGTTGCTGAACCTTCAACCTTGTCCGACTTTGTTTGGGCTGCCACCCCCGAAACCGGTATATAATCCTCAGTCTATCCCCCCTCAACTCTAAAAGCCCTAAACCCTGAGGCCAATTATCATCTTCGAGGCGGGATGGTCGCTGCGACAGCGCGATTTCTTCTCCCAGCCTGACCCTGAGAAGTGCTTTAACTATAATGTAGAAGCCTAAATAATTACCAACAGTATTCCTTAGGGCTCAGATCGCCGGCGATAGCTGCCGGAACTACTGAAGCCCCAGTGCCCATAGAGGCACGTAGAAGCTGTGCCCGCCTCTCCGAGCTGGCATAGACGACGCAGGCAGAAACGCTCCAAGGCGCGCAAACGCGTCCACAACTCTCGAGCCCAGGGGAGGCAGCCCGCGACCGCGGACCTGTGGCTTCTGGCTGCGCATCACAGCGCACCCAGATTTAGGGAACTGCGAGGCGACCATATGGGCCGAGGACGAAAATGGGCGGACGCATGGAAGGGCACCGATGCAGCGGTGCAGCAAGGCTCCTACCAGTACTGGCGGGGCTCCTGGTCTGCTTCTCCGAAAGCGGACAAGGCCAGTATGCCTGCCAGATACGACCAAGTGGTTGTCCCAAGGACAAAGACGGTGGAGCCCCTTTCCGAGGATGCATCCATGGAGGTTGTGGCTGGAGGAGACGCAGAACTCCGTCGGGCCATCCAGAAGGCCTTGACTACAGCCAAGAAGGCAGACGCCCGGGTCAGTCGGCTCAAGGAAGAGATGACCACGAGGCAGGCCCAGTGGCAACAATATGGGCGAGACGTGAAGGCCAAATACGCTGCCCAAGAGCGTCAATACGATGCCGACATGGGGCGGCTCGACGACGAAGTCAAGGCGGCCACTACAGCCGGCCAAGAAGCGGCCCGGATGATTCAGCGGCTCGCCCTACAGGGCTTCCCCGAACCAGAGGAGGACAACGGCGAGGACGCGGCGTGGGACAGACTCATGGAGGCCAACACCACAGTCAGACCGCCTGCCGGCTTCCTGACGGATGCTATGGAGGCGGTACGGCATGTACGAGTTCAGGCCAGCCCCAGTGCCGCGAGACACCCGGCCAGGGCCCCCACTAGCGAGGGACGAGACAGAACGCGAGCCACGGTAGAGGAGCCGGGCCTGGTTGCAGCCCCGCTGACGCATCCGCCAGCAGCTGCGGAGCCGCACACTTACCTCGAGTTGGGAGTTGGAGCGCCACCTTTTCAGGCTTCCCCCAGCAATCCAGCTGCGCATACGGGGCAAGTGGCAGTGACGCCGGAGGCGAGGAAAGCCCTGGTCCGGTCAAGGACCCCGATAAAGGCCCACACCAAGCCGGAGCCAGCCCCAGTCAACAGCAAGTCTCTTGGAGAGAAGCTGGCAGACAAGCGCAAGGCGTCGAGGCCCTTCGGAATGCCAGACGAGGGAAACATGCCGTTGGACGAGCATGCTTCAGCTGCGGCGGCGTCCGCTACCCCGCCCGGCCTTCCTGGTCCGGTCAAGTTCAGCATCGCAAACGACGATCCAGATGCCGAGGTGCTCGACTCAGATGGCCTACAAGACTTGTCGTGACGCAGGACATCCCCGGTCATGAGATTCCGGTCAGTTACGGTAACGACAGCCTAGGGCGGCCCATCCTTGAGAACTGCCTAGTCGGCAGCTCCTCGGATATGCACTGCCAAGGGCAATGTTGCATCGTAGCAGATCTGGATGCTCTGACCCATGGGGAAGTCCGCCAACTGAGGCTGTGTACAGCTCTTGAGGTTGTTTTGTACATAGCCCCTTTTTTCCCAGAGAGCACTGGTCGAGTTCGAGAAGGTTCTCCTTCTCCAAGCATTCAGCGACGGCGCCTGAGAAGCCCGCCCTTTTGGTGGGGCCCTGTGTCCTTTGCTGTCCCCGATGCTCCGAACGCGAGACACAAGTCGTTTCCTCGGTCCCATAGACAGGCCAACCCCCGCACACTGCTTAGGACCTGTGCCACACGGCTTTTCGCCGATTTTTCAGGAGGCGTCTGGACCTTCAGAGGGTTCGGTGCAGTCCGATCAGAATGTCTGTTCCCATGTTCCCGCGCTGCAGGATTGACCGCAGGCGGGGCCGGAGCTGCCGCTTTGGGTTTTTGCCAGGGAGCTCTGCCCCTTGATTTCGCATCTCTCTTCCCTCTCCACTCCGCCCTCTTTTTATCAAGGCAGTCGAGGTACCTACCTCTCTCCTCGGTCCGCAGCATCCCTATTTTGACTGAGTGGAGCTGCGTTGACCCCCGCCATGCACGCCTTCACGGCCAGTGCCACAAGGGCTTGATCAACCTTCGGATTCAAGACAGGAAGGGAGCGTCTAACATGGACATCGGTGACTCTGGGGTCTGGGCCCCTCCCTGTCTTTATTTACAGGCCAGCCTGCTTTTCAGGTTTAGGCTTCCTCCCGCGGTGCTTTTGGTTGCCTTCGAAGGGAGGGTTAAGGTCTTTGAAGCACACCTCACCGTCCCTGAAGAGTGCCCGCATGCAGGTCCCCATCTTGTTGGGTCAAGCAAGGACAATGCCAGCGTCGAGGCTTCAGCCTTCTGCCAGTGGGTCTGTTCGCAGGACTTTGAGTCCACAGTCCCCTCTTGCTCCACTTTTTCCGTACCTGTGCTGCAGGGATGCCCTTCTTCTGCCTCAGTTCGGTGCATCCCTATTGGGTCTCAGTGGAGCAGTGTTGACCTTAGGCATGAGTGCCCTTGTTACCAGGGCCCTGTGTTCCCTAACACTTCGCCCAGCTACAGCAGGAAGGGAGCGTCTAACACAGACATCGGTGACTCTGGGGTCTGGGCCCCTTCCTGCACTCATGTGCGCCTTTGCCTCCACCAAGGCCAAAGTACCCTTCATGGAGGCTCTACGGCCCGGTCCGCGCCTTTTCTCCGTACCTCCACGTGCGCGCCAAACATGCGAATCGGTGGCTCAGGGTCGCAGGCCACGGGAGGGTGGTACAATAGGCAAGTTCCTTCTTTATGCTCTGATCTTTGCCCGGGCATCAGAGAGTATGAAGGCGTAGGCTGGCTTGCTTCGCAGGCGGGTACTATCCTTCTTTGTGTTCTGATAGTCCTACAGGTTGCACTATGCCGCTTGCTGCTCCTTCAACTAGGCTTCCAAAGGTCGCCCTTAGGCAGGTTATTCCTGTGCCGGGTGCTCGGACCCGGTCTGCAAGTGACCGTTCCAGTGGGCAGGATTGGAACTTCTGCACCCATCCTTGATTGGTGCCCCATCAAGGCCAAGTCTAGAAGACGTGGATGCAACAGGCAGGTGTATAGGTTCCTTGGCCCCTTCCTCTGGGCTCTGTCACTGATCAATATACCCCAGCAGGTTTTTGCGGCCCCACCAGGTCTCATCACAGCCCTGGCTGAGGTCGATCGCATCATTGAGGGACTCCCGGAGCCGTTGGACAGGGCTACTTCAGCCAGTAGCGGCAGTGTAGGTCCGGCGGCACGCCAAGATGGCCAAACCTACCTCCTCCCAACATCGTATGATGCGGTCCCGCTACCACTACCCAATGGTCAGGTTGTTGCAGATGAAAGCAGCACATGGCTAGGCGTCGAGGTGTATGCACCAGGCTACCGCACCGTGGTGTTTGGCCTGAACTTGGGCCCCTGTCCAACCCTGCTGGCTGCCATGCGACGGGTAGCCCACCATTTTGCCACCCTCCACTCTCATCTGGAGGGCTTGGCCCCCTTGAGGCCGCAAAGGTATGGGGGCACTGCGATGTTCCTCGCGTATCCTCCCAGCCTCGACCAGCGACACCACAAGGCAGTGATTTTTGACCTGTCGAGAGCCTCAGGCCATTATTATGCGGATGTGCTCCCTACCCCTTGCACCTGGGAATCTCTCAGCCGCACCGTTGTTGCCAACATAGGGGGCGATCCAGTTGACTGGGAGTACAGGGTAGGTCCTCAGCTCCAAAAAGTTCAGCCACACGACACCTTCGAGCTGAATCACGGGGACGTGGTTGTAGTGTCTCCACCAGGTGGAGAGGTGGATAGCCCCATTCCCATCACCGCGCTCTTTGCTGGAGACGCGACCTGGACCCCTCTTCACCACGTGCCCACTAAGCGCTTGCAGCCCGGACTTGCAGTGCACCTGCTAGGGTCGATGAGGCCATTCGCAGCACGATACCTAGACAGTTGTCATGTCCCTACACGTCTGGGTCAGCTACTGCGTGTTCCAGAAACTGACCTGTACCTCAGGACGTTGGCCGGATTCTCTGATCTTGAGGTAGAAGGCGAACCATGCCACTGTGTGGTTGTTGCAGCCTCTCTGGATGCACTCCAGGCTAAGTTCGGACAGCTGCCCTTTACCTTTGTGTTCGACGCTCGTCCCGTCGGAGCGGGCATACAGGTCAGGTTCACCACAGCCAAGGACCACGGTCCAGCACAACTCGCAGGTTGCTTGCAGATTCCGGAGGCTTATGCTCACTGCCTTGCCTTCAGAATCATTACAGCCGCGGAACCGCCGCACCTGTCCTGTTGTCTGGTTGAAGTTACTTGGCAGAACGATGCGTGCACCCCTGCGGATACACACGAAGGAAGAGGCGAAGAGGCATGGGGGCTTGCGTTCAGTGAGGCCATGCGTAGGGCAGAGCAGGCCCCTGGGTCTCCGCCAGGGTTGGCCACCACTGCAGCTTTTCCCTTTGCTACAGGCACGCAGGCAGGTCCAGGCTCCGAGGCAACTTCCGAGGCATCAGAACAGGCCCCTACCTACGTTGCCAACTTCCTGGTTGTAGCTCGTCACCAGGCCTCCCATCAGGTCCGTGTGAGGCTCCGGAGGCCTGCTACAACACAGGCCGCACTGGACGCGGTCAGCCTGAATCTCGAGGACGAATTTTACCGTCACTACTCCCAGCTCATACCCGCGGTGCACCAAGTGTCGCAACACTGGGGGCTTATCGTGGCGCTCCCGGCCTGGGTGCGGGAGGAAGCAATGTGCATCTTTGATCTTCGCGACATAGATGAGCGCTTGTATGTGACGGACTTGCCGGCGCGTGTGAGCCGGAGCGACCTGATACTCAAGGCAGGTCTAGACCCGGATGGGCCATTTGCCCTATACCCTTTCGGCTCCGGGCATCCTCTAGTGGAAGGAGAGGACCTGGAACTCATACCTTATGGTGTGATCAAGTTCTGTAT